GCGGCCTGAAGTTATAATTCAAATTATATGAACAGATGAAGTGAGAAATATATGAGCTTCCCACCCTTCTTCCCTCCCTCCTATGGAGTCTCTCTTTTGCCTGTCTATTCCATGGCGTCAAAAAGCCACCGAAGCATCACGGGACCACGAGATCTAGGTCCCAGGGCCTTGTGGGTATACCCAGGTCCCTTTTATTGTTTCTTTAGGGGGGTTCGCCCATCTGATGGCGTTAAAAAGTGGTTTGAAGCGCTAACTGGGAAATTCCTACCGTTTGTTGTCTCATGTATTTCTCACTTCATCTGTTCACATAATTTGAATTATAACTTCAGGCCGCTTCGTAGCCCTAGTATAACTCTCATTAAGATGTATGCTTGCTTGAGGATGAAGGGTAACTTACTCTTCATTCTGTTCATCATCATCATCATCATCATCATCATCATCATCATCATCATCATCATCATCATCATCATCATCCCTCACCGTGCCCCGCAGGTCACTTAAGACCATATGGCCACCTAAGGCCCCGCGCCAAACCTCCAACCTGGAGGGCCAGGGACTGTCCTTAAGTCAGGCTTCTATCCTCTGACCTGCCCGGCATGATTGAATCTGCCAGGGAGATTGAGTTCTCAGCCTGTATAGTTCTCGGGATAATAGAAACACACAAGTTCCCTTACCGCTACAAGGCCACAGTCCATTCTCTTGCTTTTCCTCAAACATTTTCCATTTCTTCGTGAACAATTAAATCTTGCAGGACAAGAGCTGCTGATGTCGTTGTTTACATTTTGTCGCAGTAGCACGTGGTTTTGCGTAGAGAAGATATCATACGAATATTTGAAGACTGAATTGTTTTTCAAAAACGCGGAATTTGCAGATGGCAAAAGCGATGACGAGCCCATTCATTCTTTGTAAAATACAGAGGTTTTAAACCTGCATCACACAAAAATATTTAGTACATCGGGCTCAATTCCCTGGGACAGTTAGTTGGTCCTTAAGTGTCTTTCAGTATTCAGATATACGACATTTCAATGTTCAAAGATTACTTTAAAACTGGGTATGTTGGTATACAAATTCAAAAACGAAAACAAAGCGTCAGTCACCATCTTTATAACAATAGCCTCCATTTGACGCGAAAATATGCTCGGATATTTGTCCGCGGACATTACCTGTTCCGAGAAGTGATCAGTTTTCGGAGAGCGTAGCTCAAGGAAAACAGTGATCTTCGAGGTAGGGACGGTCAAGCCGTTGCTCTCGTCTCTCACACCTTTTTGAACATTGAAGATCCTACTAGACTTTTTGCAAACTTCCCCGCTGGCCTCACGCTGGTTGGCGGAGAAAAGCGAGATCCAAACGGACTGATGTCGGCCGTACATTTAGGGTGAAGTTACTCAAGGAGCTCATTTGCGCTATGTTAATGCACTACCATCACTGAAACTCCAGAACGACTGTGGAACGAGTGTGCGACTGTAGTACGAGTGAACGACTGTAGCACTGTACTGCGTTTCAAGAGTTACTCTAGAATAGCCCACACCAGTTTCAGCTCAACTATGGAACCTACCTCTGTTTTCTTTGTTCTGTTTTTTTTTTTCTTGTAGGGGACAGGTGGTTTCACATAAGTGAAAGGCCTCCTCATCTGTATCAAGTGTCTACTGGAAAGACATCAGTGTGGGCTCGCGAGAAAGATGGTACGATCACTTTCTTCTAATCTAACAGTTTTAAGCGTATAAAAAGCGTAAAAGCGTATAAAAGGGTGAACTGACTGACATTAGAGAGCTTAAGAGGCTGTCTCTGTAAGAACCGACCACTGATTTTACTTCGAAAATTCGATTTTTCTCATAAGCTGGGATTTCGAAGCCCTTACCTAGTCAAT